CTAAGTCAATCATTAATGGTAATTTAGTAATTATTTGATCATATTGTGGTCAAATATATGTATTTGACCAATAATTAAGGGTACGATGGTCAACACATAAATTAAGTGGGACCCACTCATTAGACAACTTCACCCCACATTTTTTCTTTTCTCTATCTCTCTCTCTCCTCACCCTCATTTCTATTTCCTCAATCTCGTTCTTTCTCCTCAAATCTGAACAGACCCTCTCTCCTCTCTCCTCTCTCTCCCCGACCCTCAACCTTCCCGACCCTCCCCTTCCGGCAGCTCATCACAGCCGGCCAATCCTCGTACACCAACTGCAGCCATCGCTCCACCGAGTGTCGCCGCCCTCTGCCGACGGCCGTCACTTCCAGCCATTTTTTCAAATTTTGTTGGACGACGACCGATGGTGGACTGTGGCCGTGAATTTCGTCGCTGCGATCACTGGATGGCATCGACGGTGGATTGTGGCGGGGGCAGGGTTGTGACTACGGGAAGGGCGGACGGTGGCCACGACTATCTGCAACTTCAGGCGAGAGTCCAACGGAGGTAGGTGTCTGCGTCGGGTGGCCANATTAGGAGTTGGGAGATAAGACGGCGGAGGGGAGACCACAATGGCGGCGACTGAACGTCGGGAGTGAGGTCTGGCGGTGGTGAACGGAAGTGACGGATTGAAAATGTGGGTTGGAATTGTGGGGTTACACTTTGAGAATTTCATATGTTGTAGGGACTTGATTGCAATTTTTTGAAGTTTAATTTATTTTAATTCAATACTTGAGGCAAATCTGTAATATTGCAAAAGTTTAATTAATACACCATATATAATATTATTATAAGTCTGTAAGTTTAATTGAAATAAATCTTATTATTTAATATAATTTCATGTTTAATATTTAATATTATATATTACACTTTGATTAAATAAATAACATATTAAGTTAATGAGATATATTGGCAATTTAATAGTTACTAAGGTGCAGTCCGCCAAACACTATGGTGCACGGTGACTGTCTGTATTGTGCAGCAGATTGAACCAAACGAACCTTTTTGTCCCAAATCGAGTTGGAAATTAACATAATCATGTTTTTTTCAGTTCGGTTAACCGAATTATGTTAAACAATATAAATAATTTGTTATTTATATTAAATTTATTTTCAATGTGTTAATAATTTTAATTATTATTTCTATATTATTCGTGGTTGAAATCTTCGAGTTCGTTCTGTTTCGATCTATATCGTGAAATCTGATAATCGTGATAAAGTGCAGCGTGTTGTTTCGTAAAGTGCAACGTGGTGTATTATAAAATGCAACGTGTTGATCTATAAAGTGCATTACCGAGATTTTATAAGTATAAAAATAATAATTGAAATGAATTATATTGAACCAACCGAACCTTTTTTTGTCCCAAATCGAGTTGGAAATGATCATAATCAGTGATTTATTTAGTTCGGTTAACCGGATTATATTAAACAATCGAAATAATTTGTTGTTTATAATAAATTTATTTTCAATATGAAAATATTATTATTTATAATTTTTGTATATTATTTTTTGTTGAGTAAAATTGAGTTAGGTCGGATTCGATCTCTAATGTGCAATCTAACATTTATAAATTAATATTATTTTTTCCATATAGTTCATCATATTTGGTTATTTTGTTTCTTAAAAAAAACCAAATCCGACATTTATTCAACTAATAGTATTCGATCGATTAACATAATTACAACAATTTTGGTAGATGTAGCGTGATGTTTTTAAGGTGCAACATGTTCGGTTATAAAGTGCAATGTACTGTTGTATAAAGTGCAACATGTTGATATATACGGCGCAATAATGAAATTTTGATACGTTAGCATGCCTGTGTTTTGCGATGTAATGTATATTAAAATATTATGTAGATCCGTTTTATAAATTTATATTGAGTAATATTTTAGTGACAACTGTTGACATTAATTGTGGCTTGTGATGATAAAGTGCAACGTGTTATTTTATAAAGTGCAACGTGTTGTTTTATATAAGTGTTATATTATGCTATATAAAGTGCACTAATTTATACCTTCTCATATAAATTACGTGTATTCGAAAACTAGTTTTAATATATATAATTGTACATCGAATTAACCTAAATAATTAAAATTTTATTTATCATTTTATTATATAATTTATTTATTGTCATAATTTATGTTTTATATTATTTTATGAAATCAAAACTTAAGAAATTGCAAATAGGCCCTTTTATCATTAAAATTTTAACTATATTGCAATTCCGAACGCGATAAGGTGCAATGTATTGCACATTAAAGTGTAACTATCAATTTTTATTAATTTATAAATTTAACCCATTAATTAAATTGTAATATAGTTAAAATTTATTAGTTTGCAGATAGGTCCCTTGATTCTATCTAATTTACAAAAGAAAAATCATTTTCCCTAAATTCAATTTTCCCAGTCCCTAATCGGAGGTCTGTCTAGCTGTAGAAAGGAGAGTCAAAGAGCGAATGTGTTGCTTGTTTCCCTCTCTGGCATAGGCGGACGGCGCCGGCGTCGGGATGGGTCGGCGGCGGGGAGGGCGGAGACTGCGGTGGGGATGGCGGAGGTATCCGACTCGCTGGACATCATCGAGCCAGCGGAGTAGCGGAGTGGTCATGAGTGGCGAAATTACACGGGGTGGCTTAGAAGGAAGGTGAAGGTAGCGGCGGCCGGTTTTGGACAACGGCATGAGTGGCGCCGACGAGGAGTGGTCTCGCAGCCATGTCAGACATCGTCGAGTTCCTGGTAAGGCTCCACCACTCGATGCCGTCTCTGCTCGAGCACGCTTGAATGGTGACGGAGAAGTCGAAAATGGCGCAACAGATGAAATACAGGCTGCAGCGGCTGGTGGTTTAGCGGCGACGGACAGAGGCGTCACGGCGGCGGCGGAAAATCTCAGAAATACAGCCGTCGGCTGCGGAGGGTTTAGTGGCGTTGGTGGGTTTATCGGAGGAGGCGGCGGCGGGGGGCGACGCCGCCAGACGGTGGCGGTTGGACATGGGAAGAAGATGAGCGGGGTCGGGAATCCAAGAGGACAGAGAAATGGGTTGGGGATAGGGGAGGAGAGAGAAATGATTTGGAGTGGGTGTGGTTCACGTGTGAGATGAGTGTGATGTGTGGGTCCCACTGTTTGGATGTGAACAATTACAACACTACCCTTAATGAAGGTATAATTTGACATTTTTTTCGCCATTAGATCATCGGATCCAATGGCTACGATTTATTCTCATTTCTCGCATTAAGAGTCATTTTCACCGGAGCGTGACCCTATATATATATATATATATATATATATATATATATATATATATATATATGTGGATACAATGAGACCACTACTTAAAATGAGTATGTAAGACTCAATCTTAACCACTCATTTTGTTTAGATCAAGGATTTATGTTAATAAATTAAAATATACATTAATTAAATAATAAAAATAATTATTAGTTGACTCCGATGTTGACCGTTGACTTCCGGTGTTGACCCGTTGACCATAATATGCATTGTGTATGAAATAAATATGGTGAGGCAAAGTTAGTGTAAATATGTTGCAAAGTTATTGTAAAAATGTTGTAGGGTTAGTTGTTTTTATTTGCAATGTTTAGTTGTATTCAGTTTGGAAGGTTAGTTGTCTGTAGTTGCATCGTTAGTTGTCTTTAGTGCAAGGTTAGCTGTCTTTAGTTGCAAGGTTAGTTGTCTTTGGTTGCAAGGTTTAGTTGTCTTTAGTTACAAGGTTAGTTTAGTCTAGTTGCAATGTTAGTTTTCTCCAGTTGCAAGGTTAGTTGTCTGTGGTTGCAAAGTTAGTTCTATCTTGTTGCAGGGTTAGTTGTTTTTATTTGCAATGTTTAGTTGTATTCAGTTTGGAAGGTTAGTTGTCTTTAGTTGCAAGGTTAGTTGTCTTTGGTTGCAAGGTTAGTTATCTATACTTGCAAGGTTAGTTCTGTCTAGTTGCAATGTTAGTTTTCTCTAGTTTCAAAGTTAGTTGTCTGTAGTTGCAAAGTTAGTTCTATCTTGTTGCAGGGTTAGTTGTTTTTATTTGCAATGTTTAGTTGTATTCAGTTTGCAAGGTTAGTTGTCTGTAGTTGCAATATTAGTTGTTTTTAGTTGCAAGGTTAGTTGTCTTTAGTTGCAGTGTTAGTTGACTTTAATTATTCTTTCATACATGATGCATACTGAGGTCAACGAGTCAACGCCAAAAGTCAAAACAGTCAATGCCAGAAGTCAATGGTCAACGCTGGAAGTCAACGATTCTCGCCGAAAGTCAACAGTCAACGCTGGAGTCAACGGTCAACGCTGGAGTCAACGGTCAACACCGGAGTCAACGGTCAATGGTCATAATAATATCTAAATAATTAAAAATAAAGAATTATTATTTAATCAAGATCTAAATTTTGTGGCTAGGAATGAGTCTCACGTCCTCACATTAAATAAGCGGATGCATTAGATCCAATCCATATATATATATATATATATATAGAGAGAGAGAGAGAGAGAGAGAGAGAGAGAGAATTTGGATCAAACAAGAATGGGGTATAATAAAAGAAATGAGAACAATTGTGCACCACTCGATCTATTAAATCAAGGGCTGAGATACAGTCAACATTTTTTAATCACTGTTTGACTACGCGGTGGCATAGTCGTAAATATCTCAATTTTTACGGACAGATTACTATGCTTGAGGGAATTGTTGTCTTTCGTCCCACTAGCAGAGGGTAAAGGTCGAATTTTCGGACCCATTAATTGCATTTACTTTCTAGGTCAGACATGGGCGAGCTCGTCCGGTAACGGTGAAGGTTTCACATCTTTCGAGGGTCGATTGAGCTCAAATTCTCATCGGATTTTAAAGAGAGTTTAAGCGTGCATATACCATACTTTTTATGAAGTTTTGTGGTGATAATATCTATATTTTGTTCATTTTAAAGCCAACTGTTCGTGGAAAGTTCGGAAAGAGATTAACGGACGAAAGAGTATGGGGAATACTCCACAAACGAGGAAAAGATGTAAGATTATTCTTCAAGTTCATGTCGATTATGTAGCTTATTAGGTGCCTCATCGTATAAAGAAAGAAAAAAAAAATTATATCTATAAAAAAACAAAAAAATTATGGTTCATCTGTTTCTGGTAATTATTGCAAATTTTAGTGTAAGTAGTAGGCGTTCTATATT